ACTGTGTGGGAATTGAGGGAGTCCTGGAAGCTTATTACGAATGTCTGCGAACAGTGCAGCTCTACGGACCCACCAACTTTGCTCCTGTCATCAGCCAGGTGGCACAGTAAGCGACATTCTCTCATACGCCTTGCTTTCTTTCTCTTCTCTTTATTGTCCATTTTATTTGTTGCTAACTCTCAGTCCTTCTCTATTAGTGTGATTAATACGCTCAGCCCAGACTCTCCAGCGTCCCTCCACACTCACATACATCAAGAACTCTGTCTGAATACTGAGTGTGCTGTCAGTGTCATTATTACTTTGCAGAAAGCTGAGGTAAAGCCAAAGGGAGATGCGCTCAATACATGTCGAGTTACCTTTTGCAGACTGGTGTGCACCAGTGTATATCCTCTTCGAGAGAACTGCATGTGCAGTAGGCTTCAGTTCTTTCTCTGTATTTAATGTTAATTATCTCTGGTGCACAGCTTCATCAGATGCGAGAAAATCCCCCAATCTAGGGAGCCTGAAACTGTCGGATCCTTGCCTGACTGCAGGGTTGAAAGGGGGCTTTAGGAGGCCCCACTGATCGATCTTGAGCGATTTACATTTAATAACAACAGAGCAACACCGAGGCAGCACAGTGCTCCAGCTAAGTGAGGAAAAAAAAAAAACAGATTAGAGATTGGTATTGATGTGGAATAGTTCATGGGCATCAATGGCTGGGCTTAGCTCTAAGGAATGCTCTTGTCAGCCCTTCCTTGACTTCTCACAAGCTCTTTTCTAAAATTAACTGTGTTTTATAGCTTTCAATACCTTATTTTAGTGTTTTATTTTCTTGTATATTTATTTACATTTGATATGTAATGTCTGTTTTGGTGAAAGATTTTAGGATTATGTCTGTTCCCTTATACACTATATGGCCAAAGGTTTGTGGACACCTTCACATTCGTATGTACTTATTTAGTATGTATGCATATTTATACCCTTTGCTATTACAAAATATAGTAAAACATCATATATTTTAATTAATATACAAAAAAAGCAAAAGACAAAATAAAGGAAAAAAATCAACTTATGGTTCTGTCATCTATGCAATTTGTATTTTGGACAAAATGTGCTTAGTTGATCTATTTTTCTATTTTTCCTTGTCTAAATAATTTTGGGGGAAATAGAATAAAAATTTCCACCTAGTTTGTGTTCGTTACACCCACAACTGTATTTCACATGCAGCTTGTCAATCACTGCTGATGACATGTTAGTATATTGAAAATATACTGAAAAATATTAGTCCGAATGCAGATTAAATCTGTTTCACTTGGTGTAATCACCAGACACGACCGTCACTGATAGGCTGCATGAATTTACAGGCTAGAAAGAAATCAACAAGATATGCAGACTGTCTTACATAAGCTAAACCTTTAACTTTTACATCCATACTGCTGGAATTTCCTACTAGCTTTAAAAGTGCTCTGTTCTCTGTCATTTTCCAATCAATGTCATGTCAAAAGTCTGTTATGGCATACTGACAATAAACCGTATGAAAACATTTCACATTCAGATGAGAGAAAAAAACCTTTTGAAGAGTGTTTCTGTGTTTGTGGCTGTCTCAGGTGTAAAGGCTTGTTCCTCCTCTCACAGGGCCGCAGCAGGCGTGACGGACGGCTCGCAGTACTTTGTGCTGCTCATGATCACAGATGGAGTCATCTCCGACATGGTACAAACTAAAGAGGCTGTGGTCAATGTACGTCTCTTCCACCATCATATCCATCAATCCTTTACTGCAGCTTCCAAATGTGAGCTCTTTCAGTAAAATGAGACTCTCTCTCTCTCTCTCTCTCTCTCTCTTTCTCTCTCTCTCTCTCTCTCTATAGGCTTCCTCTCTGCCCATGTCAATCATCATTGTCGGGGTGGGGCCTGCCGAGTTTGATGGTGAGTGTAGAAGACTTAGAATTTATGAGCTGCTCTGGTATAGAAGATAGCGTAGGGAAACACACAATACCATTTGAAAAAATATATTTGTGTATATACAAACCAGGCAAGTGAAAGCTCTAATGCGCCACACTGTCTCATGTTTTGGTTGCTCGGAAACCTGACGTGTTTCCGGGTTTGGATATTGTCCTTTTGTCTGTTTCATTGGCATTTATTTGGCATGGTTTTAATGTTTTATATATATATATATATAAATGCTGATGACTGCTAGGCTATGGAGCCTTTTGCCATTTGTGTGTTGACGAGAAGAAAACCGTGTCTGTGTCTGCCTCTCTCTATCCAGCGATGGAGGAGTTGGATGGCGACGAGGTGCGGGTGTCCTCCCGGGGCCGTGTCGCAGAACGGGACATTGTTCAGGTGCTCATCATGACACCAGCTTTTCCCATTTTTTTTTCCTACTCTACTGCATCTGATACAGCTTATTATCTAATTAGTTAAATATTCAGTAGCTTGATCCAATGAGCAGGAAGAACATAAACATGCAGCAGAGTTTTTACTTCAGTCGTTTCTGAGCAGCTACAGTGGTTAATATCCAGGTAGGAATTTCATTCTAGCTGTGCTTGTAATGGTTGCACACAACATTTCCTTAAATACAGTTTAAAAATATAAATCAGCGATTCTCAATTGGTCTTGCTTCAGGACACACATTTATCCTTTAACATTGGCTATTTTCACCTTACCTGGTTGAAGTGACACAAACCTGATTTTCTCCCTTGATGTAACAAAGATCTGATTTTTTCAGGACTGTGTGGACACAAAAATCTGATCTTTTCAAATCTAACCTGAACCACTTTGATATATGTGGTCATTGATCAAATATATATCCGATAAGTGGCAGTGTGACATGAATGAAAATTGTTAAATCGGAATTTATGTGACTGAATGAAGAGTTACGCTCATCACCCCGAACTACATCCTGATATATATTTTTTTGTTTGTTTGTTTTAGACCACAGCAATGGGCTAACAATTTTTTATTTACACATTTTAAATGTTTATGGTTACGTTATCTCTCTTGAAGTTAGTAAGACAAAATAATGCAGCTTGTCATGTTAGCAAGGAACAACAAAGCAGAAAATTCTCTGTCCTAAAGACTTTCCCGTGTCAGAACACCATGGCAGCTTTACCTCTGACTATTAAACAGTGATAGCATTGGAGACTCCTTCCATAAATGCTAAATGTCTCTTTACAGAAAACTTCCATCATATCAATTATTAGGCTTAGATTTTATAGTATGTATGTAGTGTGTATGTATGTATGTATGTATAGAAGTATGTAGCTGTCAGTAAAGGAATAGCACATTAATATAGACCTATAGAACAATTAATATAAACCTGCTGACCAATCACAACTGAACCACACTGTGGTATAAACTGTAATAAAGCTACCAAACCACTGTGACTACAACTACTGAGTGTGTGTGTGTGTGAATGTTTTTGGGTTACCAAACTAAGAATACACCCACAAACCTATTTTATACTGTACCTGCTCACCACCCACTTTTGGTTTACATATTTGATATTTTGTCTATCTATCTATCTATCTAGATAGATAGATAGATAGATAGATAGATAGATAGATAGATATACAGTCAGGTCCGGAAGTATTTGGACAATGACAGAGTTTTTGTGATTTTGCCTTTGTACACCACCACAATGGATTTGAAATAAAACAATCAAGGTGTGATCAAAGTGTAGACTTTCAGCTTTATTTTAAGAGGCTCCACAAAAATATGGCATTTACCATTTAGGAATTACAGCCATTTTAAGCAAAGTACTTCCATTTTCAGGGGCTCAAAGGTATTCATGATTGTAGACGCCTTCAGGAATGTAAATACAGAGGGTTTACAACAAGGTGCAAACCACTGGTAACATTCAAGAACAGGAAAGCCAGATTAGACTTTGCCAGAAAACATCTAAAAAAGCCTCCCATGTTCTGGAACAAGATTCTTTGGACTGATGAAACCAAGAATAACTTGTACCAGAATGATGGGAAGAGAAATGTATGGTGAAAGAAAGGAACAGATCATGGTCCAAAGTATACCACATCAGACTGAAGGCAGAATTAGAATTGTCCAAATACTTTTGAGCCCCTGAAAATGGAAGTACTTTGCTTAAAATGGCTGTAATTCCTAAATGTTAAATGCCATATTTTTGTGGAACCTCTTAAAATAAAGCTAAGTCTACATGCTGATCACATCTTGATTGTTTTATTTCAAATCCATTGTGGTGGTGTATGAAGGCAAAATCACAAAAACTCCATTGTCCAAATACTTCCGGACCTGACTGTATATGTATATGTATATAACACCAAAAGTCAGTGCAGAATTCTCAGCTGTAATTACTTGCATCTTGTTTTAGATCATCGTCCTGTATGTGTCTCTCAGTTTGTGCCGTTCAGGGACTACATCGACCGCTCAGGAAATCAGGTGCTAAGCATGGCTCGTCTGGCCAAGGATGTACTGGCTGAGATCCCTGAGCAGCTGCTGTCTTACATGAAGAGCCGTGGCATCGAACCCAGACCTGCTCTGTCCCACTCTCCTACACCGCATATCCACGTACATCTCTGAACCCAGATCAAGCTCCTGCTCACACTGCAGATTTGCTGGATATAATAACTGTATAATATAGTGTAGTGTATGTGGTTACGTCACCCTTTGATGGTAATGATCACCTTGTTTTTTCATCGGTTTACACTTACTCAGGTTTTAAGTAATGTCTTGTCATTTATGGAAGTATGACATCTCTGTATGGCTCTCCCACAGTCTCTACATGCTGTAGCTGTGTGTCCAAGATGGACGGTTTAACTCATGCACACTTGTAGGTATGTCTTTAACATGTAGTGCAGCAGCTCACAGTTATTCATGTTTATATCTATTTCCTTCTTCAGCTGTTCTGGTTTCACTCTTACTCTCTGTCTTTGTTTTTCTTTTTGTCTTAAAACAGCTTGCGAACGTATACATTCGCCCTTTACCCATTCAGAGAGAACAAGCGGTGTAAATAAGTGCAGCTATTTCTAAACAGGAGTTTTGGCGTCTGGCTAGCTCAGTTGGTAAAGCATGGGACTCTTGATCTCAGGATCTTGGGTTTGAGCCCCACACTGGGTGCCAACCCCAGCCACTGGGGGGTGCACAAGCTAGTGCACGCCCAGTGCCAGTCCCAAGCCCGGATAAATAGGGAGGGTTGAGTCAGGAAGGGCATCTGGTGCAAAACCTGTGCCAAATCAATATGCGGACAATGATCCACTGTGCTGACCCCTAATGGGAGCAGCCGAAAGAACAACAGCAACATTTCTAAATGAAAGTTCTATAAACTGAAATTAAACAGACAAATGTTGAGAAAGAGAAGAACTAAAGACATTGTTTACCCTTAACAGCACATCTAAATTGTTTTATTACATTTATTCCATAGGAATGTTTCAACAATTATATTTTTACATTTAATTACAGATGCTGTTACATTTAATGTTGCAGAATGTCCGTGAAACAAGTTAGTTCCTGTTATCACGTATAAACAGGTATAAATATTCGTTCCCTCACCAGGCTCTTGTTGCAGCTTGTCATGTTACTGAGAAACTGAGAACATTACTGAGAAAATCATCTACCCTGAACACATTCCCTATGGCAAAAAAACGTAAAGGAACAGTTTCCTGTCTGACGCAGGAATCTCCAGAAAGCTTCACTAGAATGTGTTCATCTTCGTTAAGCAACACTTTTTAAACAAAGAAATTTTTTAATTGTTAAATTTAAATTATGTGAGTATCTGCCATACAAGACCTGTTGAGTTATTTGGTAAGGTAATATTTGACACTTAACAATACTGTTCCATAAATAATAGGTCCCTAAGCAAGAACGAATGAATAGTCTTTCATTAAAACCTGCGATACAATTTTTAATTACTGAGAACTAACCTTGTACATTTGTAGGTTATTGTTGCCCATTTCTCTCTTTAGGTTGACTTTTACTGTGCATGTTAGAGACTGAGGTATTGGAATAGGTTGAGGTATATTAGGTAGACCATCTCCATGAGGAAGGTAAAGCATAGCTATTGGGAATTAATGTTGATGTGATTAGTACTTCATTAGTAGTAGTTATAAAAATAGCCATAGTTAGCTAGTAGTTCTGCATATATATGTTCTGAGATATGTTCGACTCTGTGAATACTATTAAAGGCGCAGTGATTAGTGCTAAGTTAATAATGAACTCCTCCTAACAAGTGCTAATCAACTAGCAATTTTTAGCGTATAAGAGGAGTAACACAAGTGTTAATGAAGAACTGTGCATTTGTTTCTGCTTACTTCCTGCATAGTTTCTTATGAGTTAAGGAACAGTATTGTAAAGTGTTGTCCTTGTTGATATGGGAATTCACAGATAATGTATTAGACCCAGCACATTAATGCATACCTGTAATTAGCCTTGCAGCTGGCACTACTACAAAAGCCGTGCCATGGACAGAGGAAGGAAAAAGGCGCAGTGAAAAATGGGACAGATTGGTTGTACGTACACAACACAGAGGGATGTTTGTGAGTGTTTGTGCTGAGAATATTATTGGCAGTGTTTGGGAGTAGGGCATCTTATGTTAAGAAGTTTGTATTACAATGTGAAGCCATGGATGAGGCAGGACACTGAAGCCGCCATTAAAGGAGGACATGTTGGAGTAATGGCATTGTACTGTAAATGTATGTGTAATTATATTGTTCTATAAGCTGCAGTAATTGCACAGCATTTTGCATGTATAAGTCTGCACAACTTGCTCTGATATTAATGGATGTTTTCTCAATTCCCCACCAACCCAAATGTTGCATGTTTGAATTGCATACAGTGAGACAACATACAGCTAAATATAATTATATTTGTACAAGTTTATTGTGCTTGTATGCCATCTTGTGGTAAACAATGTCATCACATGTAGTTGTGCAAAATGCCTCAGTGTAACATCTAAATCTAGTAAAATATTTAAAACATTTTTACCTAGCATACTGTTAGGATGTGAAGGACAGTTTCAGTTGTTCTTTGCCATCAGTGTCTTACCACATTTTTAAATAAAGCATGTATGTCTGGTACATGTTGTCAGAAAGCTTTTTGGCAGAGGTATCTGTTAAACAACTGTCAAATATATATATATGTTGCATTTTAAAGAGCACTGTGAGGTGTCAGACCTCTTTTTGGCATGTATATTTAAAATATATTCTGCCTTGTTAATTGTACAGAACCATGACTAAAGCTGATGCAGTGTGGAAACACTTTATTCGGTTAACACCTCACAATAAGGTCCAAAAATAATAATAATGAATGTGAGTGAATTTTAAAGTGTTTCCCAAGCAACTTCGTCAGATCAGTAGATTTCATCTGGACAGCCATAACACAGGGATATCCGTGAACTCCACATTCACCATTGACCATTAAACCTCTCAGACTTCAAGGCCTCACCAATTTCAGACCCTGAAAAAGTTGCTCGTTCCTCCTTGGACATAGGTGCGATCAAGAAAGTAGAACAAGGTGTTCTGCTAAACGATTTTTCTTGTTTAGAAAAAGGATACTGACCTCCATCCTATTCTAGCTCTGAAACAACCGAAGGTGACCTCACAACACTCACCAGCAAGAACTGAGAGCCAGAATTCAGCTTCAGTGACTTCCGGCAGGTTTTTACGGGCCGCCACAAACGTACCCTGTCCTGGGTTT